ACGAAGACGTGGGTGGCGGCGAGGGCGCGCAGGCGGTCGGCCAGCCCCGTGTCCTCGACGCGGAAGGGGTCGTAGAAGGCCGAGTACATCTCGAGGTCCGGGCGGGTGCCCTTGTCGAGGACGGCGTGGAGGCGCGCGGCGTCGAGCTCCGGGACGAGCTGGGCGCCCGGGGTGCCGGCGACGCAGTGGGCTGGCCAGAGGGTGGTGACGTAGGGGAGGTGGGAGGGGTCGGTGGGGTGGTGGATGGTGATGGAGGAGGTGAAGGGGGAGGTGTCCGGGTGGTTGGGGGAGAAGGAGATGTGGGAGGGCGGGTGCCAGTCGCGGGTGGCGAGCTTGAGGGGGAAGGGGAGGTGGAGGAGGGAGTTTACGGTTGGGGAGATGTCCCTGCCGTTGGGGACGGCGAGGGAGCCGTTCTGGAGGAGGAGGGTGGTTAGGCGGTTGGTGTGGTTTGTAGGGATGGATGATGGATTTGATATCAAGCGTGAGGGTCATACGGGGACTTACAGGGGGGCAAAAGTCTTCTTGGAAATCCACGACGATGAGAGCGGGCTTGAATGGTTTAGGAGCCATGGCTGGTTTACTGAGGCGGGGGGCCTGCCTCCGGCATGAGTTGGTGGATGGAGCTAATGAGTGATGAGATATGCCTCTGCTGTTGTTCGCTGAGCAGGTGATACGAGTATATTAGATGCGCCTTGCGATGCTGCTTTGGCGGCTACTGGTGGAAGGCGGGGAGAACAGGCGAGGCTTATCTTATCGCTGTGTGCCCCTCATTTTGAGTGTCCCAGGCTCCTCTTCCATTGGTTCGGAGGGACCCGTGGCCTGGATGTACAGTAGGGGAATTGTGGCACGGTCTGTCTGGTCACGGTTCCAAAAGGCAAGGGAGCGCACATGATGGGAATGCTAGTTATGCATCCTAGGAAGGTATTGCACCATCGAGCGGCCGCCCGTGATGGGAATAGCCATGACCGCGCTGGCAGCAAAGCGAGTGGTGATGTTCGTTCTCGTTTTCCCAGAGGCCCCACATCGACTAGAAGCACGGCGGGAGCCGGCACTAAGACCAGCGATTAGCGACCAGAAATGAATAGACCCCCTTTTCTTCCAATTCCTGTCCACGCAGCGGCCGACCCTCTCGCATTGGTATCCCTTATTGATGGACACATCAGTCATGGCGAGAGCCTCGGTATCTTGCCAACTCGCCTGGCCTGGAGGGAAGGAGTTTCCTCTAGGCATAGGTTCCCCTATGTACCTAATACATGGTGCTGCTGTTCCCTGGGACCTGGAAATCAGGGGTCCATGCATTTGAGACATGCGGGACTACCCACTCTGCTCTGAGATTCGGGACCTGGCAGTGCGTTTCAATTCCCAGACGGGATATGGAACATTCCAGCCGTGGTTCCTAAATTAATACCATGGGTCAGGCTCCATCCAGGCCATAGTTGAGATTGAATGCAGATTGAAGACACGATGGCGCTATGCCATAGGGGCCAGTTATAGAGGCCAGCCACTGGAAACCACTTGTCCGATAGATGTCGGTAGTAATTACATCAAGTCTGCTGCTGCCTCGTCCCGGGTAATTGGGATAGCCGCGCGGCAATCTCCGCCGTTGGAGGAACCTCGGAGTAGGCATCATAAGTAGAATGGCAAGCACCTACAAGGTTGGTGGCAGATATGGCCGTGGAGGGCAGTAAGCATCGGGGTTATTGCTTGAGAGGGTGCAAGCCGAGGTGATTAGATTGAAAACTCTGTCCTCTCACCGCAGAGGTATCTCACTACAGTAATCAGGCGGTCATATTCTTCACGGACGCACGTGCAGTGCATTGTGTGTGTGCTTCAGAGATGGACCTGATCAATTGTGTCCCAAAACATTCCTCCACACTCGTCTATTCGCCCTCGTCTGGTGCTAGCGATACAGCACACTAACGCTGTGTCCCACTGGGTCCGCCAACGAGATCAACATTGCACTGATTTCCATGGCATGAGTGACCCTGCCTGTCAGCCGCATCTGGTTTGGTGGAGCAGCTGTTCGATGCTGCACTGCACCCGGGACCCTCCTAGCCTCCGAGGTCCCGAAAGCCTGGAAATTTTGTCCATTGGCTTTAGGGCATTCACACCCTTGGGCCTCACTTGCGCAACCGCTGGAGTAAAGAGTTACGTGGTGGAGGAAGAGAGGAAGCGTCGGAGAGACAAAGGACAGGGGGGAGAAAGGGGAGCGGTCGCACACTAGCCGTAAGCCCAGCAATAACAACGAGTTTCCCCATGCGCCTCGCCTCTATCACCGTCAGGTAACATACAGGCTATCAAGAGCTGATTGACTTGCTTGTTTAGTGGGGTGCGGCGGATGGCTCGCTCCATCTTACTGTGTCGTCGAGTTGCGGACTTTGCTTCGCTTCTGAGCCTGGCCTGGTCCCAGCACTTCGGATACAGCAGCAGCTAAATACAGGCCCCCTTCTCTTCCGACTCCCGAATGTCACGCTTGCATTGTGCCCGCGACACACGCCGCCACCAACCAACCAACCAGTCTGTGCATAAACGAATTGATTGACCGAGCCGGCTGGTCACCATCCTATCGTTGGTCCTCTGGCGCGCAGAGCAATCATCATCAGCCTTGCATACTGCAGGCGCTGATCGCTCGCTCAGGCCCTGCGGCCAAGCACGCCACTTCTTCGTACCTACGGGGCCATCGCAGTCGCCAGCCCAATCCTGAGTCTTGGTTAACGCAGCCCTTGGAGTTGCACAACGTCATTCATTCTTCGTGTGTCTTGATGAGGCTGGCGGGGGGCTCATCTTGAAACAGACCATGTGCTCCCTGCTACTGCGCCAGCCCGCCTACCTGCTCGGGTTATACGCGTTGATCGCCTGTGGCGTCGCCTTCTGTGCTGTCGTCTATCTCATCGAGCGCTTCGTCGCCAGCGTCCCCTATCCCGACAACATCCCTCTGATCCGCGAGGCCCCTGGCGCACGGCGATTCAGTTTGCGCACGAGATGGGCTTACTACACAGACTGCAAGGCTCTCTTTAAGGATGCCTGGGACAATGTAAGACTCACCCACTGAAGCCCGCACTTCCTTCAACCCATTGGTGCCCAGCGCGCTTTGGCGCTTTGGTCCACGTTTGCTAACCTGAATTTCTAGTACCTCAAGCATGGCAAGCCGGTCGTTATCCCTGGAATGGGTTTTCGCAAGGAGGTTCTGCTGCCGCCCAGCATGATCCGATGGGTGCTGGTGCAGCCGGCAAGTCGCCTCAATGTCCCCCACGCGATGGCGGAGATGGACCAGGCCAAATTTACTCTTGGGCACGACGGCCCTATTCTCGACAGTTGGCAGGGGTTGCTTGTCAAGACGGAGCTCAACCGTGTGCTCGAGGCCATTTGCGCCTCGCTCAATGACGAGCTTGGCCGTGCGTTTGACAAGCACTTTGGCGATGACGAGGAGAACTGGGTTGAGTTCAGGCTGAGAGAGACCATCAGCAGGGCCATCGCACAAGCCAACAGCCGCTTCACTGTTGGGCTACCATTGTGTAAGAGATAACCCTTCGTTTCCCAAGGTGGAGTCATTTTCATGAGAAGTAATGGCGCCTCACTTTTCGCCTTGAATACTAATATGAGGATAACAATTAGGTCGCGACCCGGAGTATCTCAAAACAGTACTAGATATCAACGACGGTCTCCTCGCCAACGGAGGCCTCATCTGTGGCCTACCCACCGTCCTCCAGCCCCTCTTCGGACCCATCATTGGAATCTCTCTCCAGCAAAATATCAGCAAGGCCAAGCGCTGGCTCATACCTCTATGGAGGGAACGGGTAGCCATAGCACGCGCTGATGAAAAAGACGAAGGCAGCACGAATGCGCCTCTGGACCACGTGCAGATGATGGTCAAGTTTGCCTTGAAAGAGCGCCCAGAGGAGATTGATGACTTCGAACTCATCGTCAGGCGGATATGTGCCCAAAATTTCGGCGCCGTCCACCAAACAACTCTGCAGGTCTGCAACCTGCTCCTGGACATTCTCGGCTCAGATGTGGAATACGACACTATAAACGAGCTACGCAAAGAGTCCGACGCCATTCTAGGAACCGAGGACGATTCAGATCGGTCCAAGGGCCAATGGACGAAGGCCCGTGTGAATAGCTTGATCATGGCCGACTCTGTCTCCCGCGAGACGCTTCGTCTACACGCCTTTGCCAACCGGGCGATGATGCGCAAGGTAATGGTCGACGGAGTGACCACCCCCGAGGGTTACAATCTACCCAAAGGCACGCTCGTCTCCTTCCTTTCCTATCCGGTGCAGACAGACGAAGATGTATACCCGGATGCGCTCAAGTATGTGCCATTCCGGTTTGTCGAGAAGCGTGATGAGGGTGCGCCCGTCACATTTGTCACGACGAGCAGCGAGTACCTGCCGTTTGGGCATGGTAAACACGCCTGCCCGGGCAGGTTTCTAGTCGACTTCGAGCTCAAGATGATTGTGGCGCATGTCCTGCGGAATTACGATATCAAGTTCCCTGCCGAGTACGAGGGCAAGAGGCCGCCGAATGAATGGATCACCGAGGCTTCGTTCCCGCCGAACGGAGTAAGAATATGTGTGAGAAAGAGGAAAAAAGCATAATGGTAATTGAAATCTCTTCGATGGAAAGGATTTCATTGGATTGTTGATTTACGGCGACTGGCGAGCTCGGAGTTTTACACAAAGTAATAAGGGTGGTTTTTTGCAGAACAAAAAGCACGGATGGATATCGTTAATTACCCAACTACACACACACACACACAACACGCAAGTGTGTAATTTCCTACTGTAACTAGTACATGCACATATATGAGCGGCTAATTATTTAATCTTCAAGTAATGTATTGCTTTTGATGTCAGATGCTCAGGTTATGTTAGCAGCGTGCTTTGGTGATGAGCTCGGTTCTAATCTGAGCACTCCCAGCCTGGGCCTCGATGCCAGGCTGCCCTGCTGCAGTCATTTCTCATTACATGTCAGTTTCCCCCAACTCTCAACCCCGCCTATACACGATCATCTGAACTAGAGTTACCCTGCCGCTTCAAATCCCGATCGACCACGTCGTCGAGCACCGTCAGCCCCTCCCTCTCCGCCCTCACCCTCGCCCTCTTCAGCCTCCTCGTGTCCGCCTCGGTCTTGCGCGTGACCCACCAGGTCGCGAGCGTGGTCAGCGTGCAGAGCCCGACGAGCCCCATGGCGCTGGCGAAGCTGGTCCGGTACCGCGGCGCGTACGCCGACTTGAAGATCTGCGGGCCGATGGCGCCGCCGATCTGGCCGTAGCTGTTGACGAAGCCGATGCTGAAGGCGGACCCCGTGGCGCGGGCCGTCGTCTGGACGCGCCAGGGCCACATGAGCGGGAAGAAGGCCGAGGTGAAGGCGTTGCCGATGAGCGTGGCGGCGTAGACGGCGCCGTTGGAGGGGTAGGCGACGAGGACGCCGTAGCAGGCCATGACGACGACGAAGACGCCGAGGGGGTAGACGGGCCGGGGGAGGCGGCCGTTGTCGGCGAAGTAGCCGGTGACGCCGATGACGGTGATGGCGAGGAGGGAGATGGGCAGGTTGAGGAGCTGGGCGCGGGCGATGGTGGTGAAGCCGAGGTTGGCGATGACGGTGGGCTGGTAGAAGCGGACGCCCGAGGTGCCGACGGTGAAGGTGGCCCAGATGAGGGTGAAGAGCCAGAGGCGGCGGTCCTTGAGGGCCTGGACGATCTCCTTGATGTTGAAGTCCTCCTCGGCGGCGCGGGGGGCGTTGGCGGGCAGGCGGGCCTGGATGAAGGCCTTTTCCTTGTCGGTGAGCCACTTGGCTGTGGGGGGGACTTGATGGAGAGGTTAGCCTGGGACGAACGAGTCTGGATGAATATCTTCAGGCTTACAGTCTGGTAGAATGAACTTCACGGCGACGCCAAACACTACAGTTACGAGGCCCTCGAAAAGGAACAGGTACTGCCAGCCACTGAGTCCGCGGGCTCCAGACACGGTGTCGAAAGCAAAAGCGAGAAGTCCACTAAACACCCCAGACAGATTTCCGAGGATGTCTGTAGCAATGTGTCAGTTGGCGTGGTTCATGCTGATATGGATGGCGGTAGACTTACAGAAATACAAGAGGCGAACGGACATCTCGTCAGGCCGGTACCAGTACGAGAGCTGGAGAATCACGCCCGGGAACATGCCAGCTTCGGCCTGTAACAGTCTTAGCATCATGCAACTGACCGTCACTGGGGAATGATGGGAGACAAACCAAACCGAGAAGGAATCGCGTTGCGTAGATGCCCCCCTTGTTGTTCACCGGAACGTGGCACAAGAGGGCGATTCCCCAACTGATCATGATCCTCGATTGCCAAGTGCTTGGCCAGAATTTTTTGAGAAGCAGGTTGGATGGAGCCTCAAATACAATGTATGGAACCTGACTCGGTTAGTCTTCATGTCCTTCTGAGTGAAACAGAACTCCAACTCACGTAGTATAAGACAGTGAGTAGATTGTACTCATCGGAGGTCATCTTCAGTTGCGTCATGATATTCATATCCGTTCCCTTGTTCATGATCCGGGCGTTGGAGATGTTGTCCGAGTCAAGGTTCTTGAGCAGAAACAACAGCGAGCAGACAGTCATGATGCGCCAGTCCACCCGCCTCATCAGCTTCTTCTCCTCCTCGGCCGTGAGCAGCGCACGGTCGCGCATCCGCTCGGCGTCAAACCCGTCGACTCCCTGTGCCACTGTGGCATCGTCAACCTCCTCTCCACGACGGGCATAGGTCAGACCAGAGGGTTTGCCGGCACTACTCTCCGCGTTCCGGTCGCCAGTCTCGCTCGGTGGGTGGGAGTCTGAGCTCACGGTGTTGCTTGAGACGGCAACATCCTTCCCGTCGGCCATTTTGGCAATATTGTGACCACGAAGCGCCCTCAATGGACCCAATGTGGAAAAAAGGAAAGTAAGATGGAGGCGGCGTGTGCTGAGGAGGGTGGCAAGTCCGACTTCCGGCTTCAATATGCACTCAATTGGTTCACCGGGGATAAGAAGGGCTTTTAGCTGCGGCATGACAGCTCACTCCTCGGATATCTGCGTCAATTCCACATGGCGATGAAATGACCAGTGTCAATCACGCCAACGGCCTTGTTCGCACCTCCCGAGGTCCCTCATTGGCAGATTTCAGGTCGGCGCAACCCTCCTATGCACTGTCAACCCATGGTGATGGCACATATAGGGCGGGACACACCCGACTTACAAGTTGGGCTTGAGTCTTTGGGGAATGTAGCCACTATGCTGACCAACTTCTGCAGAGGTTGAGATCGACGCGAGCCATCTCGAAAGACGCCATTGCGGAGATGGATTGCGTGGTAGCATCGGGCTGCCGCCGACGACGGAGATCACGGCCAGGGGGGCCCCCATTTAAGACTCCCGGACTCCGGCATGGGTAACGGCCGGCCTTATCCAAGTTCATACTACTCCCGGAAGGTCACCCCGTGCTTTGGCCGCTTCATATATCACGCAATTGCCCCATATTGACCTTGGGCCTGATAAGACAAGCTGCCTCGAGACGCACGAACTTGGCCCATACTCTCACCATGGCTGCAGCCGTGTCTTCGTTCCCCGTCAGTGCCCTCCCGGCCTATAAGCAGATCCCAGAAACGGCCCACGAGTGTATGTTCCGTCCCTCGCCAGAAGAATGACATCTTAGTTTCGTTGTATTGACCAGTTCGTAGTGGATTGGGCTAATCTGGTGACCCTTGATCTGTCCAAGTTCGACCAGCCTGGAGGCAAGGAGGCTCTCGCCAACCAGCTGTTCAAGGCTCTGCAGGAAGTCGGCTTCTTCTACATCGTAAATTTCGGCCTCAGCCAGGAGGAGGTCGATGAGCAGTTCGCCATTGGGAAGAAGCTCTTCGAGCTGCCTACCGAGGAGAAGCTCAAGTACCGTGCCGATCTAGAAAACGGTGGCTACAATGGCTACAAACCTCTCGGACTGCGGGTAAGATCTATCTCAAATGGTCTGACTCTGCAAGCAAGTAACTAACTTTCTAATACAGGAAGTGACGCCTGGTATTTTCGACAACACCGAGATCTTCAATATCCCCAAGTTCATTCCTGAGCTGGACCGCCCGCAGCCTTCGGTCATCAACACCCACAAGGCCCGGATCGAGAAGTTCGCCCGCCACATCCACCACAACGTCGTCCAGAAGCTGCTGGCCCTCTTCGCCATCATCCTCGAGCTCCCGGAAGACCACTTCTCCCACTTCCACCGCTACGACGCCCTCTCCGACTGCCACCTGCGGTACATGAAGTACCACGCCCGCGACGCCGAGACCAACAGGAGGCTCAACAACGTCTGGGTCAAGGGCCACACCGACTTCGGCAGCCTCACCCTGCTGTTCCGCCAGCCCGTCGCGGCGCTGCAGGTCCGCGGCCAGGACGGCGGCTGGAAGTGGGTGAGGCCCCTCGACGGCTCCATCACCGTCAACGTCGCCGACGCGCTGCAGTTCCTGACCAACGGGTTCCTCAAGAGCAGCATCCACAGGGTCGTGGCGCCGCCGGCCGACCAGGCCCACGTCGACAGGCTGGGCGTGCTGTACTTTGTCCGGCCCGAGGACGAGCTGGAGCTGCGGCCGGTGCAGAGCAAGGTGCTGGAGAGGCTCGATTACAGGCCGGATCCGGATGCGCAGCTGGCCGAGGGGATCACGGCCGGTGAGTGGGTGAAGGCTCGTGTTAGGGCAGGGGTGAATAGGAGCAAGACGGCGAGGAGTGAGCTGGCTGAGGAGGACATTCTGAAGGGGGTGAAGGCGAGGTATTATGACTGAATGGGTCCGCTTATCTTTTTCGTAATTAGTAAATTGAGAAATGAGTTCACGATTTGACTATTTGTATGAAGGATGTGCTTTTTGGGGAAGCACGCATGTGAATGTCATGGATAATGAATTTAAATTCATCAAGGGGTATCAATTAGAGAGGGGGAAATGGTCAACTTTTCTTTCATTCTTTCAATCATCGTTGACATATTTCTCAAACACATCTCCGTAGAACCTCTTGCCAACATCCCGGTGGCTGCGGATCTTTGTCCGCAACTGGCTCTCGCCCCAAGTATCATATTTACCCTTGAGGAATGCAGAATCAATACCCCTTCCCTCGTCAGACTCTGAGGCCACGCTACCGTTTTGATACCGGAACTCAGGTCGCCTGAGGAAATGCTCTCTCAGCGGATCCAGAGCCTCCGCCTTGGTGAGGTCACGCCTCACACCCTGGAAGAAAGGCACGCTGAACCGCTCCAGAGAACCGCCAAGCACGCGATGCGTCGTCGCCTTGCACACGCCGTGCGTGACCACCTCGAACGCCTGGCCGATGTTAACGACCAGAGAGCCCGGGATCACGGGGACGTCCACCCAGCTGCCGCTCTTGTTCAGCACCTGGAGCCCCTTGATGTGCGGGGGCGAGGCCTGGAGGAGGAACGTCCACCACCCGGAGCTGTCCTTGTGCGGTCCTACGCCTTGGCTCTCGGCGCCTGGATCCTCAAGCGCCGGGTAGTGGACGAGCTTGAGGCGGTGCTGGTCAGAGAGGAATGGGAGGAATGTGCCTTGAGGGAGGAAGAGAGCCTCGGCTACGAGGCGGAGGAAGCGCTCGCCTAGTGCAGTCAATTCACGGATATATGTCTCCACGATGGGACGTAACTCTGGGTACGCTGATGGCCACTTTCATGGTTGAATAAGACAGTCAGACCAGCTGAACTACAATAATGGAAAAATGTTGGGGGCTTTACATACAGAATTCGGCCCTCGTAATCGTTCACGAAGAGGTAGCCCTTCCTTCCAGGTTGCATCCAGCTCGGTGGCGAATTCAAACTGCTCTCTGCGGTCGGATTTGCCTGCCGTCGTCTCGGCACCGTCGCCGCTGTAGCCAAGGAAATGAGGTGAGTTTTCCAGGGCGACCTCCGCCTTGGACTCTGGGGGGATAGAAAAGAGACGCGGGAGTGCGTTCTTGAGATCCGATATCAGGTCGATGGCCACGCCGTGGTTTTCAATGTAGAGGAACCCGACCTCTGTGAGTGCATATCGGAGATCACTCAGAAGCTGGTCATGGTCAGGTAGCGACAGGTCAATGCGGGGAATATTGATGAAATCCGGGGTAGTAGCAGTAGGAGCCGCCATGTTGGCTGCTGTGCTCGCTGACGAGACTCGACTTGCTCTCAACTGGCTGCTCTGGCGGATGTCGGTCGACAGAGCGACTTGTTGAGCAAATGAACGGATAGGCCTTTTTGGTACGCCAATTAGCCATGTCATTCCATCCAGATCATCATGTGTAGAGGCCGGGCAAGTACCGACTCCCTGGGATTTACTGACCCACGAGGGTTGCAGTGCAGGAGTAGTGCTGGTGCTGGTGCATGTCACATCATCACGCAACGATCCCCAGATGGCACACCATCATCGCTTGTCGGATCCGATACCGGCCGTCTCTACTCCAACCGAGCATGGGCGATTCATCATCAGTCAGAAACGAGCTATGGATGCAGACAGGTGCCTCAATTACACCATGCCGTGCCATCAATACACCGAAGAATAAAAGTGCCCCCACGTGGCCAATATTTGGCAATACTATACTCAGAGGCCTGGTGATCGCCCAAGTTCAGTTACTTGTTACGCGGAAGAAAGTTAAGCACCTGGCCATCATTCTAGATATAGGTAGAATTCAACCCAAGTGAATTCCTCGATAGTTTGAGGAGCTAGCACTGGCAATCTTTCGAATCTGTTTGGTGTGATTCGTTTCCTCTTGTTCAATTGGCATACCAGGCCGCAAGGAAAGGTTTACTACGTTCATTATTATTCTTACCATCGTCATCACTACCATTCATACTCCTCATCGGAAGTGAAACACGTGGGCGGTCCAGGCGGTCCTCCTTCTGGCCTTCTTATCCGTTCTGTAGTAGCTTTTCCTTCAGCCTAGAGGAGCTGAGGGTCCAAATCGAGCATGGAGCCCTCCACTTTGAGTCTACTCATGGACCGCACGGGTTGCTTCATGTCTGAAGGCATGCCCTCAAGAGCAGTCTCGCAGATGAGCTTCAAGAACACCCAGTCCAAATGCAGTATCAACGCCTTGTATTTTCAAGCCAATCCGTACAACAACACAGGTAACATGCTTGTAGACAAGCCTCGTTTACGACACGCGTCGCGACCGTTCGTCGTCATTACTCTGGTCGCTACAGAGAACGTCTATCCGTAGCATGACGTGCGATATCGATTCAGGAAGCGCAACCACGTCAGAGCGGCATCGAGGTTCGGGCGGAGTATACGAGAGGGCTTCGTACGGTCGGTGAGGTGGGTGCGGCGAGTCGAGGTTGATCAGTTCGAGCTCGCTCTCAGGAAAGCGGTACTACCTAGAGCATAGAGCATATTTTTCCTCCCCTCCAGCGAATCACGTGACAATTGTATGACTACTAAGGGTGAGCTAGGTAGGTGAGCTTAGATAGAGCTAAAGTAACATTAAAGCAAGGTATATATATGGGTGTAAAGAGTAATATATACTCTTAGCAACTAGCAACGGCGACTGAGACAGACAATGCATCAGGCAAACTTCTCAACCTGCTTCTCACTCCACTCCCAGAACTTACGCGCCAGGTCCACTCCGCCATCCGGCTCAGCTGCATCCTGGAGCTCCTTGCAGATCTCCCCCATCCGACCGAAGGGGAAGATGTAGGTGCCGGCATTTCCCTGTGTGATATCAGGCGAGAAGGCCGCGTACAGCTCCGTGTAGGCGCCCTTGACTGGAGGGTAGTGCATGAGTGCCATTTGGAGTCTCAGCAGGATGCCCTGCTGCGAGAAGAGATCAGATCGCAGGTTTCCGGGGTTGGCAGGGACCCCAATAACCCCCTCGACCTTGAACCGCCTCGAAAACTCGACACCGTATGTCCACGCGCCTACCTTGCTGATGGCATAGCGCTCCATGGGAGCTTTGGGGTGATGGTAGTCAAGATTCTCCATGTCGATGCCTACCCGCTTCTCGTGGTACATTTCTGCACCAAAGGAGGAAATGAAGATAACACGGACCTCATTCGTCCATGTGCTCTTCTTCGCGGCTGTAGCTTGGAGCAGAGGGGTGAGCAGCTTGGTGAAGAGAAACGGGCCCAGGGCATTCACTACCAGCTGCTCCTCATAGCCTTGTGCTGACTTATTGACCACCCCATTCTTACCATCGTTTGTCATGATGCCAGCATTGTTGAATAATACATTCAACTGAGTCTCAGCCGCAAGAAAGGACTCGGCTGCTGCCTTGACTGACCGCAAATCTGCAAGATCTAGTTTGAGGAATACTAAGCTGCCATTTGAGCTTGGCTCAAGTTGCTCAATTTTGCTAATGGTGCCCTTCTCTTCTCGCGCAGCAATGTAAACCTTGGCGTTCTTCGCATACAGAATGCGAGCCAGTTCTTTGCCAACTCCGGATGTTGCGCCGGTAACAATGTACACCTATCAACCGATTAGAATAGATTGCTTGGCTAGAGCGATGTTCATGGATGCTACATACTTTACCAGTCAGGTCGGGCACATCCTTATCGGTGAACTGGGGAGCTGGAGGATAGCATTGTGTCCAGAGGCTCCAAAGCGTGGGCGGCATGTTGTGCGATCAGTTGATGGGATGTTCGTGATGCCGGCAAACCCAATCGTTGATACTTGACGCAAAATGGGCCAGCAAAGAGTGCGGAGCAGAGGATGAGGGGGCTTTAATTTTTATTCTGACTGGGTGCCAAGCGAGTGTCCATGGTATAAAACTACAATACATGCAGGGGGGCTCACCGCACCAACAGAGAAGGGCCCGTATATGCAGGCGCTGTAAAACAAGGACAGCATAATGCTATTGTGAGTATGTTGGTTTCATTCAGCTCTGCATGCGAGGCATGGACCACCAACAACTTGGTAGAGCCAACATCCAACAACTACCTAGATAGAGCCAACAGTTCGAATCGCTACGCTGTAATAAACCTGGCATTATGTGACTTGAGGTGGGAGTCAAAACAAACATGCAATGTCAAGTCATATATTCGTGCATCTTCCCTTCATATACAAAATGATCTACCATTACTCATGAAGCTTCATGTCGTGTTCCCATCACGTCCACAATCAATTTGCCCACAACGCCAACGCCGGACCAGTCAAGCCAGAAGACAAAGAAAAAAGACCAGCAGGAGCGATCACAAGGCGACAGCTTCTGCCTTGGGCCAGCTGGTGCCGTTCCCACTTGCGTCAGGGTCTCTGATATCCCTTGCTCCATCCATATCCCCGTGCTCGCTCTTATTGTCATAAGTTATTGTCACAACATCGGTTCGTAGGATGCGGTTGGAAGGAGACATGTCCTGGCCAGGCTTCCCGTCATGGTGATGGTCTGCTAGCTTGACGTAGTCTAGAGTCCGCAGGATAGTGTCTTGCGAACCAACCTCTGCCAGGTCGTCGACTGATGTGACCTTGTGACGTTCGCCTCGCTTGCCCGTTCCCAGGCCGAGCTCGGTGTCTCGCTTCTTCCGCCCGAGTCGGCTGACAGGGAATCGGCTGTACCCGTTATTTTCCGAACTATTCAGAGCTCGGCGGCCAAAGATGAGATCGACGAGAGGCTGGAGCAACGGTATGCATGAGGCCACGATAATGGTTGTTCCCTCTCCACTGTGGACTTCTGTCAGCCATGAATCGAACAAGGACCGCGGGTTCAACTTACACGACCCAAAGAACCAAGTCGGACGTTTTATCTGTCAACATAAATTAGCAGCAGAATCAAAGAAATGCGGGTACATTTCCATCCATACAGGTGAAATCCTTTTCAGCTAGAGCTGGCAGTCGCGTGCACTTCTTGATTGCAATAACAGTGGCCCTGGTCAGTTAGCAGGGTTCCGGTCTCACAACGAATAGAAAACGTACACTGATCCAATACCCAAAGCCACACTCAAGGCAATCTTCTTTCGGATGTTCAGCTGCAATTTGAATAATACAGTGGCCGGGTACAGTGCCAAATAAAGATCGGTAAACGCAGACACGCCTTTTCGAAGAAGTCAGTAATGTTCCCCCCCTTCCATCATCTGCTAGAGTACTTACTTCCAGAAAATATGAGAAAGTCCACAACCACACTGCCTGGGATGCACTTTTTGTCCACGACTGAAAGGTCCCAGAGCGCCCGCATAGGCGTACATTGGGCAAAGATGAGTATTATGCTAGCAACGACGGTCGACGCACAGAATGAGGTCAACCCCCACACGGCGAGTCTGTGCTGCTTCGTTGGGTTCATGATCCGAGTAAGGAGAACTGCGACGCCCAGTTTTGGAATACTGAACGCAAGCATACCCATCGGAAGACCGAGTATGGTCCAGAAGATTGTACCCTCCCTTTCGTCTATCGACAGCGTGTCGAAGTGTCTCCCGTTTCCTGCCTTGATAGCCAATATGACAAATGCCACGCAGGCCCATTGGAATAACTTTGAAGCCTCTTAGCCACGTCTTGGGTCACGAGAATAGGGTATAGACTTACCACAGAGAGAGTAGCCAACCAGTCATCCGCATGCAACTTGGCCATGATCTTTCCACGGGTGAATAACCGAAGCAGAACGAAGATGGTGCTGATGGAGGCGAGGACGATACAAACAGTGGCCACCCCTG